TGTGCCTCTCTGCTCCTGTGTTTCTGTCTCTGTGCCTCTCTGCTCCTGTGTTTCTGTCTCTGTGCCTCTCTGCTCCTGTGTTTCTGTCTCTGTGCCTCTCTGCTCCTGTGTTTCTGTCTCTGTGCCTCTCTGCTTCTGTGTTTCTGTCTCTGTGCCTCTCTGCTTCTGTGTTTCTGTCTCTGTGCCTCTCTGCTTCTGTGTTTCTGTCTCTGTGCCTCTCTGCGTCTGTATTTCTGTCTCTGTGCCTCTCTGCTTCTGTGATTCTGTCTCTGTGCCTCTCTCCTTCTGTTTTTCTGTCTCTGTGCCTCTCTCCTTCTGTTTTTCTGTCTCTGTGTTTCTGTCTGTGTGTCTCTGTGTTTCTCTCTATGTGTGTCTCTCTACTTCTGTTTGTCTCTGTGCCTCTCTCCTTCTGTGTTTCTGTCTGTGCTTTTCCTCTCTGTGTGTTTTTCTGTCTGTGTGTGTTTCTCTGCTTGTTTATTTATTGGCGATCAGAAAGTGACACAGGAAAGTGTGAGGAGTCCTGGGAGGGAATCTTCCAGCTGACATTCGGTTAAAAACTGGGCCCATGCAGCCCTGATCCTGCGTAAAGACGCGACCCATAGCCAGCCAGGGAGTGTGACGGCCTGCTTGGTGCCCCCATAGCCGGCCAGGGAGTGTGACGGCCTGCTTGGTGCCCCCATAGCCGGCCAGNCCTGCTTGGTGCCCCCATAGCCGGCCAGGGAGTGTGACGGCCTGCTTGGTGCCCCCATAGCCGGCCAGAGAGTGTGACGGCCTGCTTGGTGCCCCATATTAGCCGTATCCCAAAATAGCCCCTGTGTGCGGACAGCTGGGGCGGTGTCTCTCTTTTTAGGTGGCGCTGGTGTGCTGGGCCGTTCCCGCCGTTATTGCGTTTCGGGCCTCCGTGGCGTGGCTGGGACACACCAGAGACACACCCGCTGCACCCCCCAGGCATTGTGATTAAGCAGCTAGAGGCCGGGCTGCCATTCCGCTGCACTGTGGCTGTTCACACGCCACTGCTCGTCTGGCAGATTAAACACCCTTTCTGTTTTGTTGTCCATTGTGTGTTTTTTGCATCACTGCTTAGTAGCTGATATGGAAGTGTTCGTGTCAGCTTGCTTTCCAAATGGAGCCCGATGTGCTTCGGGGGAAATCTGCACATCGCCGCCTTGCTCCTACCCACAGACAGGCTGCACATCGCCGCCTTGCTCCTACCCACAGACAGGCTGCACATCGCCGCCTTGCTCCTACCCACAGACAGGCTGCACATGCAGTGAGACAGGCTCTGTCTCTCGTTAAAGTTAATTACTGTTGGATTTATATAAGCCAGGCCTGCTTCGTTTTGTCGTGTCCTTCTTGAGCAGTATGTTGTTATTGTATCACCTCCTTAATATGGATGAATTAAAATGATCTCAGCCTTCCTGCCATGACCGAGATCCTGCCCAGGTGATGGGCTGGGGTGGGCTGAGCATGTTTTAAGTTGTCTTCACAATATCTTCTCTCACTGCTCCACTGTGCCCTACAGGAGTGGACTTTAAAATCAAGACAGTGGAACTTAGAGGGAAGAAGATCAGGTTGCAGATCTGGTAAGTCAGGGCCCCCTTGGCAGCGGCTGTCCTACTCCCCATGTCTGCCTGGAGGTGAGCTCCGCCTCCCTGCTCACCGTGGGAGGTGTGGCATGCGGCTGCGATGCTACGCCTATCCTAATGGTGGAGAAACCTCCACACCATGTCATCTAAGGCCCATCCCAGGATGGGGTATTGTCTCACACAGAGACTGCAGCTTTACATGTGATCCAGTAGAGGGCAGAGTAGAGCCTAAAGAGCTAAAGGTGAATGTATCTTTCCAAAAGGGCTTCAGAAGAAGGTTGTTTCAGGTGTTCAGTATCTGTGAACTGTGAAACCCCAAACTGGTTATATAGTCGAGGTTCCAGTGCTGTTCTGCTGTTTGCCCACAACAATAATTCCTCCAAAGCAACGTACATTTTCGAGAAAGCAGCGTTCGCCTGTCCTCATGAGAATGGAATGATTAGTCTGTTACTTGAATGGGGAGAAAAGGGATTTCCTTTAACCTCTCCGTAGCTCATCCTTTATTTGGTGGTGATTTTTGCTGAATGATAATGGACATTGTATCATCTGTTTATAAGAGGGTGTTGTGCAGCTTTGTCTAGGACCTGAGTGCTCCTCGGGGATAACTGTAGGTACTTAGCGGGCTTTCAGGGGAGGGGAAGTCTGAATGGGAGCAGGTCTGACCTCAGGGAGGTGCCTCATTCACAGAGCATGTGTTAGCTATGCACCTTCTGTCACTAACCGCACCCCAGAGTGGCTGCTCTTACCACATAACATGTCTGCGTGTGTGTGTGTGTGCGTGCGTGTGTGTGTGTCTGTGTGTGTGTGTGTGTGTGTCACTTTCATTCATCCCCAGCACCGGCCCCCACTCCTCTGCTAACCCTAGTTGCCGAGAGACGTCTCTCTCCGCCCTGCGTAACCTGTTTAAGCTGCAAGGTAAACGTGAAAATGTGGAGAGGCGTGTCTGCACTGGGCTGGCCGGGCCGCCGCTAATTCAGCATGACCCCCACACCCACGGCCCCCTCGACCCTCTCCTGACCCCCAGCTTTGTGTTTACAGAGAATACCGCTGCTTAGGAGGTGAACTTTGACCCCCTGCTTTGAGACCCTCTTTACTGTATTATCAGATCTGAAATATTGACAATATCCACATTTTTATCTAGTGTTTTAATCCTATTAATATTGGGGAAATCATTTGTGCAGAGGAGTCCTTTCTGGGGGTGTTCTACAAAGCAGGATTGCTTCGTTAGCCAGATATTTTAAACCAAATGTAAGGATTTTCCAATAGGAATGTCACTTACCTCTCTTCCTATTGGACAGATATCACATTAGGCTGAAGTTATTCAGCTGACTGGGAAATCCTGCTATGTGGAACATCCCCCAGGATGTGTTCCTGTTCCTGTCCCTGTCGCTCCTGGCAGACATCTGCAATGTGTCTCGAGTGTGTCTGTCTGTGTGTCCGCTTCCCCAGGGACACAGCCGGCCAGGAGAGGTTCAACAGCATCACCTCGGCTTACTACCGGGGGGCAAAGGGCATTGTGCTGGTGTATGACATCACCAAACAGGAGACCTTCGATGACCTGCCCAAGTGGATGAAGATGATCGATAAGGTAATGGAGGGGATTGTCTGGGCCGTCTGCTCCGCGGGGACGACGCTCACGCCCTCACCTCGCTCCTTTCTCGCAGTACGCCTCTGAGGACGCTGAGCTCCTGCTGGTGGGGAACAAGCTAGACTGCGAGACCGACCGCACGATCTCCCGCCAGCAGGGGGAGAGGGTGAGCCAAAGAGGGCCGGGGCCTCTCGAACCCCTCCGCCGTCCGTGAAGGTTTGGGTGGTTGACATTTACTCATGTAAGTCACGCTTTTATCCAGAGGGACGTACAATAGAGAGAGCAGAAGGGGGCGAGGTCCTTGCTCAGGGGCCCGCAGGTGACATTCCTCAGCCAGTCACTGGACATTCCTCAGCCAGTCACTGGACATTCCTCAGCCAGTCACTGGACATTCCTCAGCCAGTCACTGGACATTCCTCAGCCAGTCACGGGATTGGAACCGGCGGCCTTTCACTCACAGCCTTCTAACCACTTGACTCACACTGGATCTAAAAACATGAAGAAACTTCTGTGAATTGGTCTCCCTAAATTGCCAGTGATGGAATGGAATGGAATCTGCAGCACTCTTGGGATCGGCTGTAGGCCCCTCCGCAGCCCCATGATGGATGGATGGATGCATATGAATTGTCTAATTGCTGCCCCTTCAGGGCTGTATTTCCATTCCTCCGGGCCCTTGGTGGGTATCTGCCCAGGCCAGCCAAAGTGCCTGCCTGTGTGGCTCGCGTGGGCGGAGCTTTCAGAGCCGCCATTGTGCTAGCAGAGCGGTGGGATGCCGCGTGGGAGGCTGTTCCCTCGGGCGCCTGCTGCTGCTCCGTTGCCGCCTCTTGCTCAGCCTCGAATCGCTGCTCACTTGGTCCTTCGATTAGCGAGGGAGCGCGGTCACTTTGACCACGAAGCGATTTACTGTACAGATACAAGTTCATAAATAGTTGGCCACTGTTGCCACTGGTGCAGTGAGCTCAGAACCATCCATTCATCTCCCGTATGCAGTAGAGAGTCACCTAGGCAGGCTGGAGGCGAGAGGCTCTATGCTGCCTGAGCCACTGTGCCAATCAAGAAAAAGAAACATTGGTGATTTCCAACGAAACATCACACTTTACCATCTGACATTGAATTAGGGTAGATTGAGGCTAATTAAGGTAGTGCAGTGGGGTCTTTTTGGTGTGTTTTGCTCCTTCTCCCCTGGGCGCTGTTGGCACGTTGACAGTCAACGGGCCCATGATCTGCCTCTGGGCCAGAAGACCCGGCTCAGACACTCTGCTTCTCTCCAGTTTGCTTCTAGGATCTCCGGGATGCGCTTCTGTGAGGCCAGCGCCAAGGACAACTTCAATGTGGATGAGATCTTTTTGAAGCTGGTCAATGACATTCTCAACAAGGTAGACTGGTTTCTCCTGGACATTTATGCAGATTGACCGGCCTTCATCCTGTTAATTTTCCTTATGATTCAATTTTCATCAGTGTGATTGAATTTCCAAAACCCTCAGTTGGGAAGGATGGGTGGATGTAGCATTGTAAGTTATGCTGTCTGGGGTCAGGTCGGGATTGGATGTTGCGTGGGGGGCCCTTTCGGCATTGGGCGCCGCATGGGGGGTCGGGTCGGGATTGGATGTTGCGTGCTACTTGCCCTGTGCGGTGCCCTGAGTGTCGCCCTGTCACAGCTGCCCCTAGAGGACCTCCACAGTGAGCTGTCCAGCAGCATCCTGTCTCTACAGCCGGAGCCCGAGGTGCCGCCGGAGCTGCCCCCCCCACGCCTACGCTGCTGCTGAAGCTCCACCCTGGATAGCTCCACCCACCATCACCCATCCAACCAACTACCACCCCCCCAATTTACCGCTCTTACCAATTAGGGTGCAGCAGTGGAGCCGAGTCCCCCCCCCCCCAATAGCCCCCCCACACACACCTCACAGTCTAAGACACGCAGGAAGGCTCCCTTACACACCCCAGCAGGGCTACCTCACATGCAGGACAACGTGATCAAACTGGGTGCCTCCAGTTAAGACCTGGAACAAGATGGACTGGGAGGTTCCCTCCCCCTGTCAGAGGGAGGCGGGGCTACCCTGAAGCCACTCCCACTTCCATCCAAACTATTGGAGCGCCTTCCACTCTCCCCTTGCAGCCCCAATGCCCTGGATCACATGACAGGAAAAGGGCATCTGGAACAATGTGCCATAAAGTTTTCACTTCTTCATGGATGGGAATGTCTGCGCAATTATATTCTGCTCCTGGTGGGTGTGGGATTTTGTTTAGAAAGGGATTATGTATAAACGAGGTAAGGAATTGCTGTCATGGCCACCAAATAGCATAAGAGCATAAGTCCTGCTCTTTCAGGAAGGGAATCGTACTGGCTGCTTCTCTGCGATTCAGTGATCAATCAGATCCCCATGCAACTAGCGTCTGTGGAAAGGAGGGGCCCTCATCGGCATCTTCAGGATAGGTTTATGGTCGAGGGGTCGCTGACACGTATGGAACAGAGTGGCTTTCAGAACTTCACTGACTGAGCCAGCTGGCGTGGCGGTTTGTTTGAAATTGGTCTTTTTTTTGTTTGTTTTACATGGTTTGCACTACAATCATTTGAGTAGTTTTACATGCGATGGAAAGGCTCTCCCTGAAGGAGATTTGGCATGGTGAATGCAGAGTTTTTCAGCACTGGTAATGGTCACCGGTCGAGGTGCCAAAGCTTAAACGATGGCAAGGGGAGGGGCACGGCGAGGGGAGGGGAGGGGCACGGCAAGGGGAGGGGAGGGGCACTGCAAGGGGCCACTCCTTGTGATCCCTCCACAACCGTCACTGCTGGTTTTCTTCCAGACCGGTTTTCTGAGATGGACACACCTGTGCTCTTGAACTGCCTGAAGCGGGACTGGAGAGAGGTGCGGATAGGCGTGCAGTGAGCAAGGCCCTCTGCTGGCTGCGGGAGGCAAGGCCGTGCCGTGTCACAAGTGCGTCTCACACAAGGACTCCATGCAAAGCTTGAGGGGGCACTTGTGCTGCTCCTGTGCTACTAGCACACCTGACTGCATGTCAGCGAGCAGGCGGGGGGGCGGAATCGGTCAGGTGACTTTGAGGTAACAATCTGCTCAGAGACGGAGCCCCGCCCACCCCATACAGCATGGTGCCACTGAGGGGTCCAGCCCATTTCCCAGAAAAAGGAGAACACTAATGGACAGTGATCGCTTCACATCTAGTGCACTACTACTAACACAATGTTGGTGCAACTTTCATGCTTGACTAAAGGGTAGTGCAGTGTATTGATGGGTTGTCGCTTGATGAAAGGCCACCGTGGTAAAGCAAAGATCTTGTCGTATGGGCCCTTTTCCCATCGAGTGCGTGTGTTTGTGCACGCAGTATCACAGGACTACAGGTTTGGCCGTACACTGGCCTGAGCGCAGTATCACAGGACTACAGGTTTGGCCGGACACTGGCCTGAGCGCAGTGTCACAGGACTACAGGTTTGGCCGGACACTGGCCTGAGCGCAGTGTCACAGGACTACAGGTTTGGCTGTACACTGGCCTGAGCGCAGTGTCACAAGACTACAGGATTGGCCGTACACTGGCCTAAGTGCAGTATCAATTGGAACTCCAGTGTTTTACAGCATTGTGTCTATACTCAAGACCTCGGTACAGACTGTCCAGTTGCCAGTGCACCTATCACTAATGAAGGTTTCCATCCTTCCCAGTATTGTACATGTAAGCCTTTTTTCTCATTATTTTTGAAATATTAACCATATTCATTAAAATGCATTGAACAGTTGTGCTATAAATGGCAATTTGTTCAATGTGTGAGTTACTAAACAAGTTTTATGTATTTTAGTATGCTGGCATGTTTTACGTCGTGTGATATAACTTGTGGCATTCTTAAACTAATGCAGTGCAAATAAATATTTTATATTTATTACCAAGCCAAAGTGTTACGACGTGTTCACTCCTAGACTTTTACCGATGACATAGCATGGCCACTGGGTGTCGCCATTGCGCCGTGTAGCTCCAAAATCAAACCTCAGAAGCGCCTGGCCCAGCACTGGGCTATCGGATGTGCGCCGGGTGCGAGGTTTCAGTGTGTTCCACGCAGGGGCGCTGCTAAGGATTTTGGGTCCCATGAAAAGAATCTTGACAGGGCCCCCCACAATTTTATTGGGGGCTTCTCTGGGCCCCCTCTCAGTCATGGGCCCCGAGAATCGTCATCCCCTCCTTTACAGCGCCCCTGGTTCCACGACTCAGTACATTTGTTAAAAATAAATATATACTGATAATAAATTACATCATCTAGAGTTTACATTTCAATATAGTTGCCTGAAGTCCGTTACTTCATGTTATAATACTTTAATACTTAATTTAAAGGTATCTTTAAACGGCGGGTTTAGTGTTCCCTTTAAAGGAAGATCCGAAGATGCTGTTTTTAATACTGTTCTGGTAAGGGTTTTTTGTTGATAATATATTATTATTAATACATTAAATTTAGATCTTACATATGCCGAGACCCTTGCCACGAAGACTGTCATCCCTTAATTAATGAGTTGGTCCTTATGTTTTCAAAATATGGTTCAATCCTGACATGGGAATAATGGTTTGTAAAGCTGGCATCCCCTCAGCGCGACATCTTTGGAAAGGCTCCTCTTGTCGAAAGGTAAGGTAATGAAGTGATTCGATACTCTCGTCGAATCCGAAATGCAGCACGCCGGCGGCTCCGGGTTCGAAAGGCTGGCCGAGCGCTGCTGATGCGCATGCGCGCCTGAGAAGCCGCGGCCGTCGAAGTCCGGAACCGCAGCGCTTGCAGATTTTACATGTCGAATGGGAGCGGAGAGGGGCGGTGCGGACGGGATCTGGTGGAGAAAGGAGACGGGGGCGCTCCGAGCGGCGCGCACGGCCGGCTTATAGCAGAATAAGGTTACGTGCGATCGGGATCGAGCTTTCTGCTACGGCTCGGATTCGCGTCTTATTTATAAATTATTTTCAATGGTGCGTTTTCACCAAGGGGAGCAGCGGACGGGACTGGAGTAAAAAGGTAGATTTATAATGAACAGCCGGGTGACATAAACAACCGGGGTGCGAGCAGGCAGACCGCAGTAAGGGTGCACCACTCCGAAGTGATGAGAAGGAAAGCCGGAAAGCAGCAGTGTGCCGCCGACGCGATTAGTCAGGGTTGTTCGCCTGGGTTAAGGATCGAGCGTTTTTTCCATCAGCCACCCCTCCCTGGTGCCCGTGGATAATGGAGAGTCCGGATGGCGAAGCCAGGCAGCAGAACCACCAGTTGGAAAAAAAGCGTTTGAACAGAGCGCCCTCCCCGGCGAGACCTTTCCTGAAGGATGTCCACTCCCGAGCGTCCAAAGCGCCGGCGATCACGCCGAAATCCCCCAAGCTTTCTAACAAGCAGCAGGCGCCCTCCGCGGGGCTCCTACACACCCAGAACCGCCTTTCCCGACGCAGCGTCTACGGTGCAAAAGAGAAGCCGGCTCCGGCAAAAAGTCTCAGCAAGTCTACAGTGACCAAAAAGGCAGCTAAGACCGCGCAGCATGGGCTGGCGGAGCCGAAAACCACCAGCAAACGAGCGGAGCCCGGGCCCCTCATTGCCAAGAGTAAAAAAGGGAAAATCGCCCTGGCTCATGGCTCCTTCAGTTTCGGCTCCCCGGTACGCGTACCGACTGGATCCGCTCTCGGCAGGGTCAGTCACACGGACAGCAGCTCGGATCTGTCGGACTGCCTCTCCGAGCCGCTGTCTGACGAGCAAAAACAAGCTCAGGCTGCAAGCAGCGATGCGGAATCCGGCTCCGGGTCCAGCGACCGCGAACAGCTGCGGGTCGCGTCTCCATTCGAACCGACCGAAAGTGCTCATGCACCGTTGCCTGTCAAAGATCTTTATCCGGCGAAGGAGCGGCAGTGCCGGGGTTTATTTGCGGATGGACAGACCGGCTCCGACGAGCTGGCGGAGCGATGCAAAGCTGGCTTTAGACCGGGGGGCATCGGGGATGCACCTGGTCAGAGAAAGGCGCTGAATGACCAGGAGCTGTTACGGGAAATCGAGGATCTCCGTTCGGAAAATGACTATCTCAAGGTAATGGGCATGGCCGCATACACACATGGCATATATAACAAATTACCAGGGCGCGCATATGTATGATCGGCGGTGTATTTGAAGCTCGTGGTTTAATAGGAGTCTTTGTGAACTGGGCGCTGTCGGGGCGCCGTAAAAGCCTCTTTTCTACGAGGTGGCCGCTTTCCCTTGTAAAATTCAGCCACCTTTCCCACCAGTATGATTGTTTTTCTTGTGCGTCAGACCTCCCGGTAGCATGTCACTGACGCAGACGAGGGTTTTTATGCGACGCCGGGGATTGAAATAGCTCCTTTCTCCATGGTGGTGCGCCAGCGTGTTCGTCCTTCCTTTATTTGCCGTCTATTTTCTGGGTCACTGGAGGATGACTGTAAGCACTGTTAGCACACAGGTGCCAACCCGGAGAGACAGAAAGCCGCTCGTGGACGCGACAGTGTTTTTCATCATCTTTATTTGACTAATACACTTTAAAAAGCAGCGTGTAATTTAGGAAGGCGGTGTGATCATGAAGTAATTTATATTTAAAATGTAAGTAGATATTGTTTCTGCGCCTTTAATATAATGCCACGTCCACGTGGATCTCCTGCAGACTCATTTTTGCCTGTGGTCCGCCGTGAGGTGCGTGCCGGCCCTGCTGTCCCGTACGAACCTCTCTGCCCCCCCCCCGCAGCCGCCGTCGGTGACCGGCCGGTGCACAACGGAGACGGCGGCAGACGCTCATTTGGCTGCAATATGGGCAGCCATAGAATCAGACGCACCGTGCCGTTAAGCTTATGCTGCTAATCTGTCTCCATACCTTTGCTGTTTCCTTCTCAGAATACTAACGCATGTGTCAACAATGTCCCGTCATAGGGAGTGATGGACACCATTTACACAAGTTTGAACTTCGTCAAATCGTCTTTGTGATTGTCATTGGTGTTACCAGAAGGGTGAAGATAGCGGTAATTGCAAATACAACCAGTTAATGGTGAAAGTCCTCTGATGACACACACATTACCATTTCAAAGGGCATTCTTAGCGTTACTCCAGCTGTCTGGTCGCCCCTAATGCCATGGCAGCTCAGTTAATAGGCTTTTGTCGGTTTTTATTACAATAGCAGAGTCCCTAAGGACCAGAGAGGAGGCCAGCTTGGCCACATCCCTTGAGGGGGGTACCCTCCCGGCCCGGCTGCCAGCTGGACCCCCGGTCTCTGCGGGCCTTTGGGATGGTCCCAGCGAGCCTATTACAGACATGGTAGCGTGGTCTCCATTTAATTTGCCTGTTGTTGCAGACACATTAGTTTGACGGTGCATCTGCTTGGTCCCAGAATAACCCAGTGTGTCAGGCACCTTCTAATTAAAAAACTGCTAATCAGTCATTTTGCAGTTATATATTAAGTGTCTACCTAGATGCAATATACCACCAGTGCTTTTCATATATGATGCCGTTTCTTCTCTTCGTTAACAGCTGCGAGTTTAAAAAAGGCTTTTTTATTATAGGAATACTAACTGAAATTCACCAGTTACCCAGTGCACGTGTGATTGAAGTAGCTTGTCCATTCTGCACAGCACATGGCACTAAGCCCCGGGAGCGCGCGGCCTCGGCCGTTCAGCGTGGCGCTACGCCCCAGGGAGCGCGCGCGGCCTCGGCCGGTCGGCGTGGCTCTACGCCCCAGGGAGCGCGCGCGGCCTCGGCCGGTCGGAGTGGCGCTACGCCCCAGGGAGCGTGCGCGGCCTCAGCCGTTCAGCGTGGCGCTACGCCCCAGGGAGCGCGCGTGGCCTTGGCCGGTCGGCGTGGCTCTACGCCCCGGGAGCGCGCGCGCGGCCTCGGCCGTTCCACTTCGCTGGCATGAAACCTCCACAGGCCTCAGCTGTGTGCCGTTCAATTAGCCCACATCCAGGGTGAGTCACTGTGGATGGGCCAAAATCAGCTTAGTCTCTAGATGCTGTTTTAATGGCTGTTCGATGCCGTCTGTTATTGGACAGCAGACACACCCAGTGAACCCTGGGGGGTGCTGTCTCCATGAAGCCTTGCACTGATATCAGATGACAGATCCATCGATCCGTTCCTTAAGCTGCTCCTTTTTCATCCTCTGCATTGCTGTTTTCATGCATCTCCCACTCATGTCTTTTGCTTTCATTTCTCCTGAAGAGCAGTTGCACCTCATTGGCTCATTGACACCCCCCCCCCCCCCCCACACACACACACACGCACACGCACAACACGCCCCACACATGACCTCAGAAGCATAAGGGCAGACAGGCTGTCACCTAACCATACCAGGAAACAAGCTCGCTCAGCATTCTGTCAGCTCTGCATCAGTCACCTGAAATTCCATACCAGTTATTTCTGCTGTCTCTGAGTCGGGGGGGGGGGAGTATGTGGGTTTATATCACGGAATATCTTTTCTGTGCACACAGCTCTTTGTGGCTCCTGGTGCATCAGCCCGCCACCCCCCAGACGTTCCCGGTCCCGCCCTCTGTGTTTCTGTGCAAAGCCACTGCTCTGGCTGATATGCGGTGTCTTGGTGACACACGGTTCAGTTGGTGTCTGAATTTAGTGTCTTAGAGTCTCAGCACTGAGCAGCGTGACAATTCTGTGGACCCAGACAGAACTTTCCAGATTAATCCTGTCAATGTCAACCAGATTGTTTATAATAATAATAATAATAATGACAACAATAGTTAATAATAATGATAATAATAATAAATGACAATGGTAATTTAATAAAAGACTCCTCCATGATTTGACCTAAGCTGTGAGTTGCTGTTTGGGCTTGTGTGTGGCTCCATTCATCAGGCCACAGTGCCTGTGATCAGAACGCTGGTTCACATCCCAGGATCGGCAGTGATGTCTCCACTGGGCCCTTAACCCCTAATGCTCCAGGGAAGGGCAGGCCGCAGTGCCTGTGATCAGAACGCTGGTTCACATCCCAGGATCGGCAGTGATGTCTCCACTGGGCCCTTAATCCCTAATGCTCCAGGGAAGGGCAGCCCCTGCACTCGATTATATGTCGCTCTGGATAACAACAACTGCTAAATAACTGACTGTAAATGTTTGGGATGTTTAAAAACAGCATGTAGTTTGTGGGGAATCTCTCTGCATAGCCCTCATTGTCACGTGTAGGTGGTTTGCTTTTGCCTGTCTGTGCCATGGCTAGGAATTTGGAAATGATTGCAGATACGATAAACACTACAGGGTATGGAGGCCGTGTGTAATGGATGCTGTTGCACCTGTGACCTAAATTAGCAGAGACATCCGTCACTCAGAGGAGAACTACGGGCCTAATGTGCTCAGTGGACTCCGTACCGCAGTTGTGAGGCTGTTCTGCGAGGAAAGACCCACCTCTCAGGCCTGCCGGCTCGCCCCCTGCAGGACGAGCTGGAGGAGTTACGTGCCGAGATGGAGGAGGTGCGAGACAGCTACCTGGAGGAGGAGGCCTATCAACTGCAGGAGCTGCGGCGTGAGCTAGACCGGGCCAACAAGAACTGCCGCATCCTGCAGTACCGGCTGCGCAAGTCTGAGCAGAAGAGCCTAAGGGTGGCGCAGACAGGACAGGTGGATGGGGAGCTGTTGCGTAGTCTGGAGCAGGACCTCAAGGTATGGTTCTCAGTGGCTGGCTGTCTCTGTCCCTCTCTCTCTGTCTGTCTGTGTCTTTGTATGGGTCCTTGTCCCTTTCTGTGTATGTCCCTCTCGCTCTGTCTGTCTGTATCTGTGTATGGGTCCTTGTCCCTTTCTGTGTGTGTTCCTCTCGCTCTGTCTGTCTGTATCTGTGTATGGGTCCTTGTCCCTATCTGTCTGTGTGTATTGTGTGTATGTGTCCATGTTCTTGTGTGTGTCCCTCTCTCTGTCTGTCTGTGTATGGGTCCCTGTCTCTTTCTGTGTGTGTCCCTCTCTCTCTCTCTGTCTGTCTCTCCCTCTGTCTGTGTCCCTGTCTATCTGTCTGTGTGTATTGTGTGTATGTGTCCATGTTCTTGTTTGTGTCCCTCTCTCTCTCTGCCTGTGTCTGTGTATGGGTCCTTATCCCTTTCTGTGTGTGTCCCTGTCTCTGTGTCCCTCTCGCCATCTGTCTGTGTCCATATCCCTGTCTCTGTCTGGGTCCCTGTCCCTTTCTGTGTGTGTCCCTCTCTCTCTGTCTGTCTCTCCGTCTGTCTGTGTCCCTGTCTATCTGTCTGTGTGTACGTGTCCACGTTCTTGTTTGTGTCCCTCTCTGTGTCCGTATCCCTGCCTGTGTCTCTGTGTGTCTGCCTCTCTGTGAGGTTATACCTGTGTTTTCCACTTGTGCCTCCCTGGTCCCGCAGAGGTGCCATGGCTGTCACTGGGTATGCTGTACAGCCTGCTCATCCCTTTGAGCTTGACTGACCCGTTTCGGCCACCTGAAATGGATTTGACATCCAGAGCCATCTCTCGCCCCCCTATTTCCCACAGACGTTAATCAGTGCATCAATCTGTCTGTGCGGCACACTGGGCTCACGTGTGCTGCATGCATCTGCACCTGCAGGTGGCCAAGGACGTCTCCGTGCGTCTGCACAATGAGCTTGAGAGCGTGGAGGACAAGCGCAGCCGAGCCGAGGATGAGAACGAGCTCCTCAGGCAAAAGCTGATCGAGGTGGAGATCTCCAAGCAGGCACTGCACAATGAACTGGAGAGAGCCAAGGAGGTGAGGGGCAATGCAGGGGCCATGACGAGGGGCGGGGGCCATGACGAGGGGCGGGGGCCATGACGAGGGGCGGGGGCCGTGACTCCCTGGGGTCTTTGGTGTTCACGCACCATGTAAAGATGCACCCTGCACGTTACAGCCATGCTCTGTTAGAGGAGGCGAGGGCTTTAAGTGAAGGAAGGTGCTCTTGGACATGGGGGCGGGAGCTTATGGCAGGTTTCAGCCTCGTTACGCCTCTCCTGCCTGCGGCCATTCATTGCCAGGTTGAATACCGGGGCGACTCAGTAGTGGGGAACTATTCTTATTGGGGTGAGATTAAGCTAATTGGAAATGACATAAGGCTGTGAGAAAACAGGTGGAGAACTGGATTATGAGTCAGCTGTCCGAGGTATTGACACCAAGAGGGGGAGGGGCGGGCATCAGTACAGGGCAAACTGCAGATGATCTCTAATGGTTATTGGTGACCAAAGGGTAAGCTGGCCAGGTGCATGGTTAGCTCATTGCTCCCAATACGCAGTGTCGCTGTTTCTGAGCTTTGGTGGCCACTGTGCCAGCACGGGAGCTGGGGGTGATCTTAAAACCATCAGAGCCCAGGAGTCAAAAGCTGAACCGTTGGCGATGTCGTTGGAGACGCCCTCTGACTGCGGGACACCCCTGGCTCTTCTCAGAGCATTGGGTTCATGGTCGGCCCCCACCCTTGCTTTTGGGGAGCCTCCTCTGCCCTGCAGACAACTTGCTCAGATGAGAACGGCAGGGAGAAGTGCTCTCCCTGAGAATCGTCCCAGATTGCTGAGCATGCACGTGCGTGTTTGTGTGTGTGTGCTGTGTGCGCGTGTGTGTGTGCTGTGTGCACGTGTGTGTGCTGTGTGCATTTGTGTTTGTGTGTGTGTGTGTGTATACTGAGTACATGTGTGTATGTGTCTGCATGTGTGTATGTGTCTGCATGTGTGTGTGTGTCTGTATGTGTGTGTGTGTGTCTGCATGTGTGTGTGTGTATGCTGCGTACATGTGTGTGTG